AATTCTGAACACGAATATCCGCTCAATAACTTGACTCTTATCAATTCCTAACATACCAATATATTGATTGTTAAGTTCATGACACACCGAGATATTGATCGTTATTTAATAATCTCGCCAATTGGAGTTTGAAAGAATCTTAAATTCACGAATAGCTAGTATCGTATAAATGATTTAATTAATTAATAAAATAATCGTGCGTGATTGATTACTTTTGCATGGTACCTACTAAAATTAGTCAGCAGTTATTTGGTTGAGTCTAAACAACGTCTAGGTGTATTAGAGTCTTTACTCTCTATTGTACAATTGTTGCAATCAAACAAAATCGTATACCCCAACCGATAAGAGTAATTGACCTTTCGATCCATATACATAATAGAGTGCCACACATCTATAGATCCGTATAAGATAAATCCCTTTTTACTGAAATATTAATTATATTTTCTCTGCTTCTCTACGTAAGCATATAACTTTATCGCTCTACAATCAATGACTCTTACTCATTTATCTATTATGCAAAGAATATTTAACTCAAAACGTATAAATATTTATTTTTTAATAAACAAAACATAATGTTCTAAATTTCTTGTAGATACGTCATAATCCTATTGAGCACAAATTTGCGTATTATCTTTCTTCTTTGTTTTTCACTCGATTTGTTTTAGGATTTCTATGCATTTTACTATGTATACGATGTGTACATATTGAATGTACGTATGTCGGCCGCTAGAAAAGTGGCCCATTGAAACTATGTATATACCTTTGTGGAGATAAACTCACCTGCTTCGGATATTTAATTTTGGGACCCATATTGTAGATAACGTTAATTATTTCTTCAGTCCCCCAACCACAGGACTGATTTTCATTTGTGAGTCTGTGACAGTCTATAGAAAATGATAGTTAGTTTTGGCCATTTTCTCTTTTTATTAGCTTCTAAGTCGCGAGAGGTCCAAATCAACCTATATTTCATATCATTGATAGCCCCACAACCCATGATTAGATTGCTTCTTTATTTCTCTTCCCATTTTTATTTTTTTTTTTACTTCCCACAATATATTCTCCTTTCATGTGCTCACTTTCCCTTTTTTCTTTTCTTTTCTTTCCTGGAGGGTTTGCGTTGATGAAAGGCAGGCAATATTAGCAGATAGGTGTGGCTAGTCAACAATCTTTAATTTCAATCTTGATCTAAAATTATGTTGATCGCGAGTATGGTTAACAGCGAAAGATTCTAAATAATGATTTGTATCACGTAGTCGAGAGTATCTATATAACATTAAGAAAACGAATAACAGTGGGACTTAGCTTTTTCGAGGTAAAATAGAGAATCTCAAGAGGATTTATGCTCGGGTACAAACAAAAGTTTTTTATTTGACAAATATACGAATGGTTTAGGCATATTTGGGTAGTGTGGTTTCAAAAACTTTGGGTTTGTTGGATAAAATTTTATCGACTTTTTAATTGATTAATATTTAATTTTAACTACACATTTCATTAAATCTCCAGCTTTTGTCAACTTTCTAAAAACACGTTTCATAAAACTCTTATTCTAATCTCCTAAAAGTTTGTCAAACAACCCCATAGTAACTTGTATTCTAATCCCCAGCCTTTGTTCTTTACTAGTTTGTGAAAAAAAAAAAGTCCAATTTTATATATTTAGCTTCTATACCCCCTCAAAATAGATTGGTTTATAAAAAAGAATCATATTATATGTACAGTGTTTGTTAATAATGTTAGTTGACAACATCCTGCGTGATAACATCATATTCATCTATTTTTATAAACTGTTTTCTACATCACAAGCTTTAATTTTGATAATACATAGTTGTCAACCAATATTATTAATCATGTTTGTACACTTAGCTTTTTTTTTTTTTACAAGGTATCCAATTCTTGACTAATCCTTGGGTCTGTGATCCGGCCCCTCTTCACACAGTCCTGTTAACCGCGGGATGTGCCTCCAACTAGCCAGGGTCCGAGCCATCCCCAACTGATCTGCTAAAGTACCTAGCAAGCCTATCCAAGTTGCGCCTTGCCTTCCAAGAATAATCCTTACCTTCCAAGATTTCTCTTGCCTTCCAAGAATAAATCATTGCCTTTCAAGAGCCCCATGAATCGAACTCACGACCTCTGATCTGCCAGCACTAAAAGAGCCCGTCCTTTGCCAGTGGAGAAGTGCCCCAGGGGGCTATTGTACACTTAGCTTTATTCTATTAAAGATGGACTTGTACTAAACTTTCAACCAAAACGATTGAATTTAACTTGATTGTACTACATCGATTCAAACAGAGGTAGGTTGCAACTCAACTTGACAACCAATAATTGTAAGGATGATCTATTGAAGTTTGTAGACTTTACCTAACTTTGGATTCTCTCAAGTGCAATCTTAGTCAAGAATAATATTATTCATAATTAGCTATAATTAATATCACTTTAAGCGGTAATGGCGCTCCAAGCTCCCTAATTCATTGTGTAATAGTGTCGTGATATACTTTAGTGCATTCGATGATTAATTAAAGAAGTTACTGCCACTTAGCCCATGTTTATCTATCACTATAAAGTGAAAATGAGTTTTGGAATAGACAATTTTGGAGAATGTAAGATTAAAAGTAGAAAAAATGGAGTTTACATGTAAAACATTTTATTACAATAATAAGTGCTTAAAAATAAGCTTGAAAAAAAAAATTTGAAATAATGAAAAATAAACAGGGGCTTAAACTGAAACTGAATTTTTCATTTAGCATTCTGAAATCAAATGATATGTTTAGTCCTTGTTTCTGAAATCAAATGATATGTTTAGTTTATGTTTGATTAACATTGTTTAAAAAAAAATACTTTCTCAAACAGCATTGTAATATCATTTCAACCACACATTTTTCAATAACATAATATTTCACGTAAATTTAAAATTTTTACTTATTTTTTAGTCATATATTTCTCATCAATATACCATTTAAAAATTCATTCTTATGAAAAATGGAGCTCAAACAACAGCTTAATAATCCTGTGGAGATTCTGATATCAACAACACAATAGGTACTAAGGGTCCTTCTCTTCCTGTGAGAGCATTGCACATGCGTGTCCTTAAATTATCGTCCTACATTTGTATTAAATGGGCGTGGACATGGGACTCAACCAGTGTTTGCCACGTAATCATGTACGGGAATGCCGACATGGATTCTTTAACTAAAGTAATAATCATGTGAGAGAGAACTTGGAAAGTTGAGAACCAAGTTACAATCAGGCTGTTTGTACAATATTTCTTACAATCTTGATTGATAACATAACAGTATTATATTCATTTATTTTAAAAATTGTTTTTAAATCAACTTTCCAAATTATGATAATATCAATATTGTCAACCACAATTGTAAAACTAACTTTATTATTAGGTTACTAGAGTTTATGTTGTACTTTTTTTTTTTTTTTTTATATGATAGGGAAACTCGAAGCCATTATCTTTCGGGTGTGTACTGAGTAAACTCTCGAATTGATATAATAGCCTGCAAATTACGTCAATCAGGTAAATCGCACTAGGCAAGCTGGTGCTACAGGCTCAACTGAGAAAGTGTTGGTAGGAGGAATCGAACTCGTGATCAAAGACCTTCACGCTCACTTACTCCACCAACTCGACTACCCTATAAGGGGCAAGTTTATGCTGTACTTTCATAGATATTGTGGTGCGCATGCGCGAATATCACTAATCATTGAGTGACATATACCTAGCTTCACCATCAAATTTTTTTTGTAGTCATATGAGTAAATTTCACCTAATGCTTGGCTGGTCAAGTCTTCATTTGTTAAAATAACTAATCAAACTTCATTTTTATAAGCTTTTATAAACTTCTATTAACTTTTATTAACATCACACAGCCTCCAACTTTTCATAAGTATTGTAGTCTTGTTATCGACCTACAATTTATTATACTTATGTCTCCAAACATAGTTGTTTGAACACTAAATGATCATGCGATGCTCCAGTGATGTTAGATTAAAAGATAAATTTATACGAAAAAATTTTCTTCATTCCAAAACAATCTAAAAGTGACTTCAGCTTTCATTTTAAGTATGAATATACTAAAAAAATTTAGTGGTCACGAAACCTATCCCCTTCAATCCATACTTGACATAACGTGAGTATTGTGATCATTTAATGGTCAAATAAATTTATTTTGTTAGTTGGAGATATGAGTGTCACAATTTAAGATGTTAGAAATATGGGTACCACAAATGATATGTCAGAACACGAGTACTATACTTATAAAAGTTTGGAAAACCCTCATAAAATTTATGCTAATACATACAAATAATATCATTTATGGTTAAGTCAATATGTCCATAAGATAAATATAATAAAATATGTACTAATGATAAGATAAATGTGCATTCATACTAAACTAGCTATATAAAAATCAACAAGAAAATATGACACCAAATGATAAGTTACAGAATATTTGCATAGACTTAAAAGACTTCCGTTATGGATTGACCAAACTTACATTATATATTGTAATTTAATAAAAATTTAGTTGATTTGAATATCCTATACAATTAATAAATGGAGAATACACATATAAGTATTATGCGTGCTACATAAAATATAAAATATGGAAATTTAAGGCCTATGGGACAAACTTTTTATAAAAATTTTGACAGATTTTGATAAAAATTAATGTAATATGTAGTTGAAAAGTTAATAAAAATTATGAATAATATGAAATTTGTTTGATCAAAAAATCACTTTCCACCAAAATTGAAATATCGTCATTTCCTTGAACAGGTTACAGAAATACGGCACATTCTCCTCGATAAGGTTAAGGAAATACGGTACATTTATGGAAAATATTTCGCTGATCCTAATATGAGCAGCGTGTTCTTCTCTAAAACACATAATCTTTATCTATTTTCGTAAAATTCAATAATGAAATAATTGGTGGTTGCCCTCACCCCTTTTCGGTTTAAATATCTAGCCTCCAATCTTCTAGGGTAAACCAAAAGCAATTTTCTGTTCGACGTAAGTCAAAACATCACTGCCCTTTTAGATATTCATTCTTCTGTCTCTCTCTCTTTTTCTTTCCCCTCCTAGAACCATCATTTTTCATATCTGATAACACCATTTCTTTGTCTTCAAGGAATCTATCCTTCACATTTTTTTATATTCTTTTGTTGCATGCAGTTTGTTTTTCCATCTTGTTTTTGTGTAGCGAGATTTTAAGTTACAATTTTGCTCGATACCAAGTTAATTCTCTCCACGACCCTCTGTGTGTATGTATATAACGTCAGTATGTATATTTGGGTGTCGCAAATTTGCCATGCAACCATTAGTGTTACTTGTTATTGTCTGAAAGGAGATTTTTTTTTTTTTGAAACGACTATTTACTTATTTAATGCAGGAGCAGAACTTATCGAAAGAGATCCATACAAGTTCTTGTTGGAGGAAAGATGGTTAAATCTGTAAATCATTCAGAGCATCTTATAAACCAAGTAAGTATAAATCAAATAAAGAATAAAGCTACTGAAATTGTTTTCTTTTGATAGAACAGTACATACGGATTTTATGTCTGTCGAATTTGAAATTATATTCATCATGAAGAAACATTCCTAGAACACTTCAAATCCTAAAGAATTTACTTTCCATCCTAGACTGTGGTATATCTACTTAAGTTTTGGGTTTAACAATGGACTTTTACTGCTCAGCCAATCGGAATGGAAGAATCCCCTGATCCACCATTTCAAGAAAAATACAAAAACCTCTTCAACGGTTCGGCTGACATAGAATTAGGAAAGAATTCGGAGGAGTTACTCGTCGTCGAGGAACGTGAACTTCCATTGATTGATCTCAACATGTTAAACCTCGGAGATTCCGAGAGAGAGGCATGCAAGAGACAGATAGCTGAAGCTTCCCAAGAATGGGGTTTTTTTCAAGTTGTAAACCACGGAATTTCTAGCCAAGTATTGGAGAAAATGAGAGAAGAACAAATGAAGGCGTTTAAGAAGCCATTCCACGAGAAGACGAATGGCAAGGATTTGAAGTTCTCGACTGGGAGTTACATTTGGGGGACACCATCGCCGAATTGCCTCAAGCAGTTCTCTTGGTCAGAAGCTTATCATGTGTCTTTGAGTGATATCTTGGGTTGTGGTGGCCACTGCACTCTGAGGTTACTTTTTATTTACATATTTCATACGATCATCAGATCCTACTTATTATACACACATCCCATAGAATCCAGAGCTTATCAGCACTATCAAACATTGGCTTTTTGTAAGTTAACCCGATCCTTTTATGAATTCAGCTCAACAATGGAACAATTTGCAGCACAAGTGTCTGAGCTAGCACAAAAGTTGGCAGAAATTTTAGCAGAGAAATTGGGACGAAATTACTCAACATTCTTCAAAGAAACTTGTTTGCAAAACACATGCTTTATTCGAATGAACAGATATCCAGCATGCCCTATTTCACCTGAAATGTTTGGGCTAATGCCACATACTGATAGCGATTTCCTCACAATATTGCACCAAGATCACGTTGGAGGCTTGCAATTAGTCAAAGATGGGAAATGGATTGCTGTTAAACCCAATCCAGAGGCTCTCATTATCAACATCGGAGACTTGTTTCAGGTACATTTTACCATTTAATGCAACGATAAAAAAGTGCTCGTTTGACATTTTTTGACGCTTAAAATGAATGCAGGTTTGGAGCAACAACGTGTATAAAAGCGTAAACCACCGCGTTGTGGCTAATAAGCTGAAAGAGAGGTACTCGACTGCCTACTTCCTGTGTCCGTCTTACGACACTGTTATACAGAGTTGTGTTGAACCTTCTGCCTATAGAAGATTTAGCTTCAGAGAATACAGACAACAAGTTCAAAAGGATGTTAGAAGTCTTGGTTATAAAGTGGGACTTTCAAGGTTTCTTGTATGAAATAATTAGAGGCGGGAAAGGGAAGTTATATAGGGTGAGATCATGTAGAATATAGACATGGTAATTATAGTTATGTATAAAATTTTCAACAGAAAAGAATTTACTGGATGATAAGTCTTTCACATCACCATATGGCGACGCACTATGTACAACATGAGCACCAACAATGATCGAAAATCAGGGGCGGTAATTCTTAGTCCCTAATCCAAAATCCCACGAAATGTATGGATAAATATGTGGTATTTATATTTCTTTCTCACAAGTTTCCTCGACATCATATAGAAAGAGCACTATAAGTTGTAACTCGAGATGCTAGTCTTGATGGGTCATCATTGAATATTAGCCAATCATAACCATATTTGTGAAATTCGACTCTTGATAAGTGATTAGTCTTCTTGAATAATGATAGCTTTGTATTGTAATCTCAGTAAAAACAAAAAAAAATAATAATAAATAAATAAAAATAAAATTATTCAAGGACCTTTTGATGAACACAAAGTAGACTAATCAAATCAAATCAAACTTTTTATCCAAAGTTTTCAATGATGTAAAGTTCCAACCAAACCATTTACCATTTCTCCAAGCAGGTTAAGTTAGGTTTTTTATGATGTTGAAACCCATTCATAAGCATCTTCTATGATGTGATCACCTCGTCATATTGAGGAATTACTAGTAATTAGTGTATGCATATGTTTTAGTTCTTGTTTGGTATAACATTGTTAAAATTTTATGTAATTGTTAAATGATAAAACTTCAATTTAATCATAAATTTCGTGGAATCCATGATTTTTATTAACTCTCCAACCACACGATAGAAAGTAAAAGACAAAAGTGACTTTCTGTCTATCGATTGTGCTTCTGCAAAGATATAAAAATCCAACATAAAAGGTGTACACTATCACGTGTTTTTTGATCCTTCCACTCGTATAAAGTTGAATATTCCCCATCTCTGTCTTAGTGCTACCTCCTGTCGTCTTGTTCAAAGATAATAATACTAGGAAAAGTTGCTGAAAAAAGTGAAATCTGCCAAATTTGAAGCCCATGCCAATGGAAAGTCGGTCCCTTTTCCACCGTTTAGCTTCAGAGAATACAGACAACAAGTTCAAAAGGATGTTAGAAGTCTTGGTTATAAAGTGGGACTTTCAAGGTTTCTTGTATGAAATAATTAGAGGCGGGAAAGGGAAGTTATATAGGGTGAGATCATGTAGAATATAGACATGGTAATTATAGTTATGTATAAAATTTTCAACAGAAAAGAATTTACTGGATGATAAGTCTTTCACATCACCATATGGCGACGCACTAAGTACAACATGAGCACCAACAATGATCGAAAATCAGGGGCGGTAATTCTTAGTCTCAAATTTACTTTCGATGGCTGTGTTTCCCATGCTGCCGTTCATGATAGTGATCTGATTGTGAACTGGTGAGTTGATGGAATTATTGTCGCCGCCCATGGCTACAATTAGGGGCTTTTCCGGCGTACTACCACCATGTAAGGCAACTGCAGTTTTAATACCATGCAGATTGCAAAATACAGTCAAAAATATGTTAGCTTGCCATATTACCCAAATTTCACATTATGCAAATCCAGGGCCGGTCCTATGATCGTGGGGTCCGAGGCGAACTCTATAAATTGGGCCCCAAAATCAACGTAAATCAAAATTCAACGGTGTACTATATAACCAATTGTTAACTTAAAACATAACGTAAAAGACATTTACAAAACATCTCAACTATGAGAGAATTCTTTTACGTTAATTAGTGGGTTTTACCAAAAAAAAAAGAGAGAGAGAAAAAATGGAAAAAAAAATTTTGGGCCCCCTTGAAGAGCTGGACCTGAGGCAGCGACCTGTTAAACCTATGCTCGGGTCCAGCTTTGTGCAAATTATGTGTAGCCAATTGTGGATGGAACAAAAAGATAAGAGACCCTGCAAGAAGTGTACATTTTAAAAGGATCCACAATTAATATTCACTTATTCAGTAATGCATATGTTTTAGTTCTTGTTTGGTATAACATTGTTAAAATTTTATGTAATTGTTAAATGATAAAACTTCAATTTAATCATACATTTCGTGGAATCCACGATTTTTATTAACTCTCCAACCACACGATAGAAAGTAAAAGACAAAAGTGACTTTCTGTCTATCGATTGTGCTTCTGCAAAGATATAAAAATCCAACATAAAAGGTGTACACTATCACGTGTTTTTTGATCCTAGTATCAAATGGTTGCCATGCAGCTGAATTAAGGTGAATAAAGAGAGGTTTAAAAACATGTTAATTACGAAAATACTTGAAACTTCAAGAAATTAAGAATTCGTTGACTCTTGACGATTTAGAATGAAAAAAATTCATTCATATCAAGCAATTTTAATTGCAGTGCCCATCTAATAACCTGGACATCAAACCTAATAGACAAATAAAAATATAAGAAATCAAATTCTAATCCTTGTGTTCATCGTCCACCTCAGTTTAGGGTACGAGTCCTGCAGTCATTTATAAAAATTATGCACGAGTTACGTTTTCTATAAAGGAAATGAATTCAATTTGTATATGAGGGTACGTGGAACAAAATTTAAATAAATGTATTTAAAGAGAAGTGGTTGACCTATTCCATTGGTACTAATTAAGTTTTCATTAATTTTGTTAACCAAGTCCTAATTCCTTGAGAATTAATGCAGAAACGTGACAGTAGTATAAGAAACAGAGGATATGGGCATATACAGGTGGCGCGTGTTTCGGCCTGATTGATGTTTGATTAATTTTTTAATGATTTATAGCTGCCCATCACCTGTCATTTGCATCAATATCATATCCTATAATAATAGAAATCATCATAATTATAATATTCGGACCATCTCTCTACATTAGAAATGGGACGTGGACGAGTTAGGGACGCAAACTAAGAAGCAAAATATTCGTGTGAGATGTTTGTGATTTTCACGAGTTATCTTGCGAATCGAGTCACACTTCGATAAAACAAGTGGCTCGCATAATAGGCCAAGCGAGCGTGATGGTAAGCCCACCGAGTGGCTCTGCATCTACCCAGTGAAAATCCCAAACTTATATAAAAATTAAGCTCATGTTTGGTTCGATTTTCAAAATTCATTTTTCTTAAACTCACACAATTTATGGAATCCACTAATTTTATCAACTTTTCAATTGCACATTTCATCAAATTTTATCAAAATCTACTAAAAATCTAACGGGAGCTAAGTTTGTGAATAAAAGATAGTACACAAGCATTGTATCAAATGGTTGCCATGCAGCTGAATTAAGGTGAATAAAGAGAGGTTTAAAAACATGTTAATTACGAAAATACTTGAAACTTGAAGAAATTAAGAATTCGTTGACTCTTGACGATTTTGAATGAAAAAAATTCATTCATATCAAGCAATTTTAATTGCAGTGCCCATCTAATAACCTGGACATCAAACCTAATAAACAAATAAAAATATAAGAAATCAAATTCTAATCCTTGTGTTCATTGTCCACCTCAGTTTAGGGTACAAGTCCTGCAGTCATTTATAAAAATTATGCACGAGTTACGTTTTCTATAAAGGAAATGAATTCAATTTGTATATGAGGGTACGTGGAACAAAATTTAAATAAATGTATTTAAAGAGAAGTGGTTGACCTATTCCATTGGTACTAATTAAGTTTTCATTAATTTTGTTAACCAAGTCCTAATTCCTTGAGAATTAATGCAGAAACGTGACAGTAGTATAAGAAACAGAGGATATGGGCATATACAGGTGGCGCGTGTTTCGGCCTGATTGATGTTTGATTAATTTTTTAATGATTTATAGCTGCCCATCACCTGTCATTTGCATCAATATCATATCCTATAATAATAGAAATCATCATAATTATAATATTCGGACCATCTCTCTACATTAGAAATGGGACGTGGACGAGTTAGGGACGCAAACTAAGAAGCAAAATATTCGTGTGAGATGTTTGTGATTTTCACGAGTTATCTTGCGAATCGAGTCACACTTCGATAAAACAAGTGGCTCGCATAATAGGCCAAGCGAGCGTGATGGTAAGCCCACCGAGTGGCTCTGCATCTACTCAGTGAAAATCCCAAACTTATATAAAAATTAAGCTCATGTTTGGTTCGATTTTCAAAATTCATTTTTCTTAAACTCACACAATTTATGGAATCCACTAATTTTATCAACTTTTCAATTGCACATTTCATCAAATTTTATCAAAATCTACTAAAAATCTAACGGGAGCTAAGTTTGTGAATAAAAGATAGTACACAAGCATTTTTGAATGGTGTCTCGATTGTGACCTAAACCGTGTACTTGACAAGCACCACGAAACAAAAATGTACAAATGAACAAGAGCATGGTGACCATTTTTACTCGAACTTCCTCATAATTGGATCAAATTGACTAGTTTAATTTGATACGTTAGTCTAATGGTGGGGTCGAGCCGTGGAGCAAAAACAAATGATATCGTGATGACCATGGAGGACAAAATGAAGAAAAGGAATAATTGTTACCTCTTGGCGAAGTTGTAATGACACTAACGTCTTTCTCTTTGGCTGTATTTTTCTTGTCGACTCCTCTAAATGTTCCTTTTCTTGAAAGACTTCTCTGCAACTTTTTTTCATCCAAAATCACACATACATAAACAAAAAGAAAAAGGCATAATCCCAGAAAAGATCAAATGAAGAAAGGCAAAAAGTACTTTAATTCTTGAATTTGCATTAATATCTTTCTCTAAGCATTCCATATCTAACACAAAAGAATCAGATTTAATGGCTGTGTATTGCAATCCATTTACATGATCAGAAATTTCACAGTTTGCTCTCAGATTATCAGAGCCCATTGGTTCCTGGAATCAAAAAAGTTATAGATAATAAGTTACTTTCGTATACAAAGATATGCAGATTTTAGACGTTTGTTCAACATGCATAAAGAAGTAAGGAAAACTATGCTTACCAACTTTCGATTTTCAGTCATTTCTCTCCAGCTTGTGTACCAGAGAGAATTCAAATAATTTCACGGAAGATTAGGGATCGAAATGAAGAGAAAAATAGGGACTTATGGGAGGGGGTTGTTTGGCGGTTTTAACAAAGTTGCGTATATAACCGTCCGCCATCTGACTCAAACGACACAACAAAACAAACACAACCTAAGTTAGTCAACTTCGTGAAGGATAAGAAAGAGAGCTTAATTCACAAGACTTATCATTTTCTTCAACTGCTACAAATTGTTATTATAGGTTGGAATTTGGTAAATTTGAAAGCTTACCAGCTTTTACTTCTTCCACACGAAAATCTTCTCTTCATTCAAACAAAGGAAAATATAACCATTATACATAATTCTTGAGCCTGGGATCACTTTGTGTGTGTGTGTGTACATATTTAATGGGTGGGAGAGAATTGAGAAGGTTTGATGAGTGAGAGAGGAAGGAAGACAAAGGGAATGAAATCATGTGCAGTGTTTTGTTTGTGTACACAAGGAGACTTTTAATTGGATTTAAAATAATGCTATCTAGCACTAGTGATAGTATACTATCGATTTAAATGATCACACTTAATAAGTTCAATTAAATGAATAATGTAAGATTACATTTAAGTAAATCTATTATCTGATGCCATATGGTGCTTAACTTCAGTAGTGCTAAATATTATTACTTTTAGGTTTAATCATTTTGGAATTTCTAAGGCATCATTGTATTTGATAATAATTAGTTCTTGTTCCATGTAATGTCTTTTAATTTTTTAGGTCCATGGAGACGACAATTGGTAGGTTATAAGCCGGATTACAATAGTCAAGAAGCTCAAAACTATGCTGAACGCCATCTCAAGAAAGAGGAAACAAATCACGTCATGTGTCCAATGTCAAGATGGCTTGGAATTACTATGTTGCGATACAATGAGTCAAAGATTTGAAATTCTAAATTAATCTCCAAGTGAGGCATCTTGACGGACGATATAGCTTTGTTACCAACGATTTCACTTGAAGAACATGATTAACAAATGTTAGATAAACGGGATATGTGGATTAAGGAGGATGATATCTTACTAACTTTACTTGATTCATAATTTTGAGGGTAAAGAGAGATAGTTGGTCATCCAACTTTCAAAACATTAATTTTTGTTCACTTAACTTCGAAATATCCCAACTCCGTCATACACAGTGAGGGAAATTGAGCAATTGAAATGAAATTTCGTTAAAAGTTGAGCAACTAACTGTGTTTTCTTATTCATAACGTAAAAGACATTTACAAAACATCTCAACTATGAGAGAATTCTTTTACGTTAATTAGTGGGTTTTACCAAAAAAAAAAGAGAGAGAGAAAAAATGGAAAAAAAAATTTTGGGCCCCCTTGAAGAGCTGGACCTGAGGCAGCGACCTGTTAAACCTATGCTCGGGTCCAGCTTTGTGCAAATTATGTGTAGCCAATTGTGGATGGAACAAAAAGATAAGAGACCCTGCAAGAAGTGTACATTTTAAAAGGATCCACAATTAATATTCACTTATTCAGTAAGACACACAACTTATGATTGCTTACCACTCATGCAAGCTAGATGAAAGGTATATTGTATCAAATGGTTGCCATGCAGCTGAATTAAGGTGAATAAAGAGAGGTTTAAAAACATGTTAATTACGAAAATACTTGAAACTTGAAGAAATTAAGAATTCGTTGACTCTTGACGATTTTGAATGAAAAAAATTCATTCATATCAAGCAATTTTAATTGCAGTGCCCATCTAATAACCTGGACATCAAACCTAATAAACAAATAAAAATATAAGAAATCAAATTCTAATCCTTGTGTTCATTGTCCACCTCAGTTTAGGGTACAAGTCCTGCAGTCATTTATAAAAATTATGCACGAGTTACGTTTTCTATAAAGGAAATGAATTCAATTTGTATATGAGGGTACGTGGAACAAAATTTAAATAAATGTATTTAAAGAGAAGTGGTTGACCTATTCCATTGGTACTAATTAAGTTTTCATTAATTTTGTTAACCAAGTCCTAATTCCTTGAGAATTAATGCAGAAACGTGACAGTAGTATAAGAAACAGAGGATATGGGCATATACAGGTGGCGCGTGTTTCGGCCTGATTGATGTTTGATTAATTTTTTAATGATTTATAGCTGCCCATCACCTGTCATTTGCATCAATATCATATCCTATAATAATAGAAATCATCATAATTATAATATTCGGACCATCTCTCTACATTAGAAATGGGACGTGGACGAGTTAGGGACGCAAACTAAGAAGCAAAATATTCGTGTGAGATGTTTGTGATTTTCACGAGTTATCTTGCGAATCGAGTCACACTTCGATAAAACAAGTGGCTCGCATAATAGGCCAAGCGAGCGTGATGGTAAGCCCACCGAGTGGCTCTGCATCTACTCAGTGAAAATCCCAAACTTATATAAAAATTAAGCTCATGTTTGGTTCGATTTTCAAAATTCATTTTTCTTAAACTCACACAATTTATGGAATTCACTAATTTTATCAACTTTTCAATTACACATTTCATCAAATTTTATCAAAATCTACTAAAAATCTAACGGGAGCTAAGTTTGTGAATACAAGATAGTACACAAGCATCTTTGAATGGTGTCTCGATTGTGACCTAAACCGTGTACTTGACAAGCACCACGAAACAAAAATGTACAAATGAACAAGAGCATGGTGACCATTTTTACTCGAACTTCCTCATAATTGGATCAAATTGACTAGTTTAATTTGATACGTTAGTCTAATGGTGGGGTCGAGCCGTGGAGCAAAAACAAATGATATCGTGATGACCATGGAGGACAAAATGAAGAAAAGGAATAATTGTTACCTCTTGGCGAAGTTGTAATGACACTAACGTCTTTCTCTTTGGCTGTATTTTTCTTGTCGACTCCTCTAAATGTTCCTTTTCTTGAAAGACTTCTCTGCAACTTTTTTTCATCCAAAATCACACATACATAAACAAAAAGAAAAAGGCATAATCCCAGAAAAGATCAAATGAAGAAAGGCAAAAAGTACTTTAATTCTTGAATTTGCATTAATATCTTTCTCTAAGCATTCCATATCTAACACAAAAGAATCAGATTTAATGGCTGTGTATTGCAATCCATTTACATGATCAGAAATTTCACAGTTTGCTCTCAGATTATCAGAGCCCATTGGTTCCTGGAATCAAAAAAGTTATAGATAATAAGTTACTTTCGTATACAAAGATATGCAGATTTTAGACGTTTGTTCAACATGCATAAAGAAGTAAGGAAAACTATGCTTACCAACTTTCGATTTTCAGTCATTTCTCTCCAGCTTGTGTACCAGAGAGAATTCAAATAATTTCACGGAAGATTAGGGATCGAAATGAAGAGAAAAATAGGGACTTATGGGAGGGGGTTGTTTGGCGGTTTTAACAAAGTTGCGTATATAACCGTCCGCCATCTGACTCAAACGACACAACAAAACAAACACAACCTAAGTTAGTCAACTTCGTGAAGGATAAGAAAGAGAGCTTAATTCACAAGACTTATCATTTTCTTCAACTGCTACAAATTGTTATTATAGGTTGGAATTTGGTAAATTTGAAAGCTTACCAGCTTTTACTTCTTCCACACGAAAATCTTCTCTTCATTCAAACAAAGGAAAATATAACCATTATACATAATTCTTGAGCCTGGGATCACTTTGTGTGTGTGTGTACATATTTAATGGGTGGGAGAGAATTGAGAAGGTTTGATGAGTGAGAGAGGAAGGAAGACAAAGGGAATGAAATCATGTGCAGTGTTTTGTTTGTGTACACAAGGAGACTTTTAATTGGATTTAAAATAATGCTATCTAGCACTAGTGATAGTATACTATCGATTTAAATGATCACACTTAATAAGTTCAATTAAATGAATAATGTAAGATTACATTTAAGTAAATCTATTATCTGATGCCATATGGTGCTTAACTTCAGTAGTGCTAAATATTATTACTTTTAGGTTTAATCATTTTGGAATTTCTAAGGCATCATTGTATTTGATAATAATTAGTTCTTGTTCCATGTAATGTCTTTTAATTTTTTAGGTCCATGGAGACGACAATTGGTAGGTTATAAGCCGGATTACAATAGTCAAGAAGCTCAAAACTATGCTGAACGCCATCTCAAGAAAGAGGAAACAAATCACGTCATGTGTCCAATGTCAAGATGGCTTGGAATTACTATGTTGCGATACAATGAGTCAAAGATTTGAAATTCTAAATTAATCTCCAAGTGAGGCATCTTGACGGACGATATAGCTTTGTTACCAACGATTTCACTTGAAGAACATGATTAACAAATGTTAGATAAACGGGATATGTGGATTAAGGAGGATGATATCTTACTAACTTTACTTGATTCATAATTTTGAGGGTAAAGAGAGATAGTTGGTCATCCAACTTTCAAAACATTAATTTTTGTTCACTTAACTTCGAAATATCCCAACTCCGTCATACACAGTGAGGGAAATTGAGCAATTGAAATGAAATTTCGTTAAAAGTTGAGCAACTAACTGTGTTTTCTTATTCAATGATTCCTAACAAAACTCTGAATAATATTAGAAAAAACATTGAATTATGCATTGAAAGAAAGCTGTTTTGATCTGTAAATACCAAACGCACATGATAACTAAAGGAAGGAACGGCGCATGTTAGGGAAATAGTCCTTATTTTCTTTTTAGGAAACTAGTTAACAGAGCTTAGTCAAATGTTATCAATTTTATATTAGTATATATATATATATATATTTTTTTTCTTATTTAAAAAAAAAAAAAATCAAAAGTCAAATTTGTTATGAATATTTGTGATGTCTGGAAATTTTATGATCTACCCACTACGAGAGTTTTGATAATAAAGTGTGATCAAATCGATAATTGAACTACTTGGTTGACAAAATTTCCTGTCACGCATTCTTTCAATCCGAATGGGTTACACCAAGTAGTAAATAGGGCAATGATGAAGATCATGGTCCCGGCTCCGAATTTTTCGAATCCATCCCGAATTGTTTTATTTCAATGTTTTTCAATTAATAATAATACTTTAAAAATAAATTATTTAAGTGGGATGATAAATAGATTTTTCTTTTTTATCCCCACTCATTTTCGAAAACTCTTGACAGGACGAGGTTGATAAAACCCGTCCGATCCGCTCCATTACCCTCCCTAACTTGGTTTGACTTTATTCTCAAACCAATTAAAAAAAAAATCAAATTATTATGATCAATTCTTTATATTGCTCACCAATATTTCATTATGATAATTCGATTTATATTCATTTCATGGTTAACAACTCAATATGTACTATTAATACATTTTTTAAATTAGGAAGAAGAGAAAAATTACAAAGAGTTCTTCCTTGTTTAAAAGTATTTTTTTAAAAAAAATATTTTTAACCATACATTCTCTCAATAAAAAATATTTTCACATGGATTTATATCATTTTCCT